GGTGCTGGGGGATTGAACCGCGGTCCCTGTGCTTCGCCAAGCTTGTTCTAAGTAGGTGCTTTAGACCACTGAGCCATCTCACCAGCCCCAAGTAGGTGCTTTAGACCACTGAGCCATCTCATTTTTTACTAAGACTTTATTTTTCAAAAGCTTTTGACATTAAAATCTATTTTTAAAGTTTTGTTGTCGGTGTATAGTTATTGGGAGGAGGAAGGTCAGTTGGAAAATAATTTTTTGAGTGGACAAAGGTGGGCACTTTATGTCCCACTTACCCTTGTCTTATGATTATTGTTGAATGCTGCCTACTATGGAAGGTTATTTAGTCTACAGTGCAGTACGTCTAAAGTGTTTCAAATATGCTATATTGATAAATAGTTAAAGGAGAAATTATGCAATGTAGCTATAAGACAAGCACTCACTGGTAGCAAGCAACAGAGCCAGCTGAGAGACGAGATGGCTTCAGGATGCTCAGAACCTAGGAGAGGTGAAAGAGGTTGACAGGAGGGAACAGATGCCAGCACAGAGGCTGGGGCAGGAGGTTCGGGCAGAAGCAGTTGGTGTTGAAGGGACAGAGGAAAGCTGGTTAGGGCAAGGTCAGAAAATATGGAAGGGCCAGCCAAATAGCTCAGCAGATTAAAGCACCTACAAGCAGGCACAGGGGCTGGGGGTTCGATCCTTGGGCCTGCCATGCCGCCCCCACCCACGGGGTACACTGAGATGGCAATTGAGACTGGGCGTGGTGGTGCACGCCTGTAATCCCAGCTCTTAAGAGGCTGTAAACAGGCAGATCACTATGAGTCTGATCTAGTAGTGAGATCCTGAATACCCTGTAGACCCCTCCCTAAAAATAATTTAAAAAAAAAAAGAAAGAAAATATGGGACAGCAGAGGAGAGGGCGTAAGCTGAGCCAGGAGGACAAGCAGTCCTGAAGTGGTGTGCAAGGTGTCAGCAGCTGTGCAGAGGCGTGGAGTTTCAGCCTGAAAGGCTGCCATGGAGACCAACAGTGAACTCTCTTGAATCCTGTTGCCATATAGGGCCTTGTTTTTCATCAGAAATATACTTCCTGGCCTTACTTACCAACTCACTCACTGGCTACAGCCCAGAGTGATTTTTGGCTATTTGTAAAAATCAGCCCCACTTGAAGAAAAATAAAGCCCACCACTACTCCAAGTGATATTTTGAGTGGGGATGACATTTTTACAATACTGACTTTTCCAGAAGGGGCTGGCCTTCATTTAGGTGTATGTTATATTGTAGTCATAGTTACTATTTTTATGTTTTATATATACTGTATTTTTAAAAATTGAAATAGATTAAGAGTGATATGAACATCAAAGGTTTTGTTCTTTGGCAGAGTAAGCATCTTTGTATTTCCTTGAAGTATGCACTAGGGTGGTGCAGAGTGGCTGGCTGCCTCAGGATGCCATTGTGCATCTCTTTCTCTTTTGTCCTAGAAGTGTGTCACCCATCTTCATTTGTTAGGGATGTAGAGTTACTTCTAACTGTGGGGCTGTCATTTCTAAACCTCTGATGTGCCTCCCCCGCTATAATAGTGTTCTAGGTATGTATTGATTTGCTTCACTTTCTTTTAATTTATTATTTTTTCATAATTTTATTGAGAAATAAATAGCAATGAGACAGTTTCAAGTCGAATTGGTAGGACTACTTCACTTTCTTGTGACTTTTGGAAAGTACTGGGGTTCTTATGCATTTATTTCCTCATTTAATACTTGAGAAAGTATTAAAAAAGTATTAAATCTACACTGAATATAGAAAAACTGGCATTTTGGCTAAGAAAATGGAAGTGCTCTCTCCTAGTTATGAGATTCAGCATGATTTTTTTTGATTTAGTAAAATAAAAATTTAAGGATACACAGTAAAATCTAATGGCATGGGGCCGGGGAGATGGCTCAGTAGGATAAGCGCTTGACTGGCAAACTCAAGGATCTGAGTTCAATCCCCCGTTCCGCAAAAAAAAAACAAAAACAAAAAAACAAAAAAACACTAATGGCAATAAGTACCACCTGAAGGTGACATTCTGTGTAAAACAGTGAAAAGTTGCACTGAGTAGATTGTCAAACTTCATTCAAGTAATGTGTAAGGAGCCAACCGCTTCCACATCTAGCCCACTGCCCTGACATTTAACCTGAGTGATTTGAGCAGTGAGCTGAGTTCTTCTCACTGCAGATGCTGGCCAGCCGTCCTTTAGGTATTTTCAATCAGCAGAGGAGGCAAAGTGTGCCATCGAGGCTGTGTTGTCTGCTGATCCCCGCTCCGTGTACCGGCGAAAGCTCTGCCAGGATCGCCTTTTCTACTTTACTGTGGACATAGCGCACATCACCTGTTGGTTTGACGATGGCTTTGCAGAAGTTCTCAAGATCAAGCTGGCCTCTGAGCCTGTGCATACAATGGACTTCAAGGATCCTTGATGTCTCTGGAATCTTAAGGTGCTTCCATCATGTCTTTGAAAGAGTCTCATTGTCCTCTGGATATTTTCTTCACAAATTTTGTGTCTTCTTTGTAGAAGGAAGCAATGTTTTATAATTTCACTGCACTGACTGGTGGATGTTCAGAATATTTATTTTTAAATGTATTTTAGCTGGGAAGATAGTTCAGTGGCTTAAGTGCCTGCCTGGCAAGCTCAAGCTCCTGAGTTCAATCCTTGGTACCCCCCCCAAAAAAAATTGATTTCTAAATATATATTAATAAACTGAACTAAGAGATATAAGATACAGAGTAATCACTGTATCCTGCTGATGAAGAATCCGAAGGTAATGCTGATCTTGGTGATTATCAACAAAGTTGGGGTTCATCTTTGCAGTTGATAAAATAGGCAGAGATCACTTTTTTGTTTTGTTCTGCTTTTTGAGACAGGGTCGTGAACTGGCTTTGAACTCACTTTGTAGCCCATACTGACCTCAAACTCCCAGCGATCTTCCTACCTCAGCCTCCCAAGTTCTGGGATTGCAGGTATGTAGCACCACACCTGGTTAGGCAAAGATAGGGTTGTCTGTCTAGTGACTCTCATTGGAGTTGGGGCATGACTCTGTGGCAGAGTGCTTATCTGGTGTGTGTGAGGATCTGGGTTTGGTCCCAGTACTGAAAAAAACAAAATCAAAAAACCCCACAAAACTTTTAACATTGGTTATGCCATCTAGAGCCTAATTTTTTTTTTTTCCAAATCAAGCTGAGTTATGATATCTTAGGAAATTAAACAAAATACAAGTGGTTATAAAGATCTTTAGAAGTTAAACTTCTGTTTTGGAGACTTTATTACGTATGTGTTTGTTTGTATGTACTTAATTTCATTCCAGACTAAGAACTCTTAAGTTTTCTTTTGATGTCCTTGTATCAGAAAAGAAAACCCCCCAAAAGCTTAAGAAAGTCATAACTAATTTTATTTATTTATTCTCTGACTAATGGAGAACCCACTATGGATTAGGTTTTGATGATAAAATGAGATGAACAAAATGCAGTTCTTGTAAGTCATGGTTGTGGAGGTTATACATAAGCAAATTATGATGTTACTGTTTGATAAATACAGTAATTTAGTCTGTGCACCATTCTTGTACCGTATGAGGAGCAGGTATAAGAGCGTACTGCTGATAGATGACCCTGGACAGCTGGAGTGTGAACAGATTAGACACCTGTCAGCATGAAGTGGACTTCCCTCATCATAGCTGTAAGCCTGCAAGCTGATTTTTTTTTTTTTTTTGCGGAACCAGGGATTGAACTCAGGCCCTTGCTCTTGCCAGGCAGCTCAGACTTGTAGTGTTCCTCCTGTTTTCAGCCTCCCCAGCACTGGAATTACAGGTGTGTGCCACCACACCCAGCCTTGGTGATCCGCTCACCATGTCTGGCTTAGCGTCCCCAGGGGTGGGGCTGGCGTGGCATGTGGTGCCGGGGATTAGAGCCCATCCCCCCATTCCTGCACTTGCCTAAGCAGGCACTTAATCTGCTGAGCTATCTCACCAGCCCCTCTGTTTTGTTTTTTAAAGACAGGATCTTGCTATGTAACCCAAGTTGGCCTTGAACTCAAGGTTTCCTGCTTTAGCCCCCCAAGTCCTAGGATTATTGGTGTGTACTGCCAAGTCCTGCTCTTGAGGAAGTTTCTTAAATTTGATTTTTTTAAAAAAAGCTTTTTCATTTGGAATAATTGCAGATATTTCTTGTTTAAGGACCTACCTGTTAACCACTGTTAAGGACTTATGGCAGTGCACCTTTTGGACACATGATCCATTACTCAGATTTGCGACCCATCTTTTTTGTACTGTTCTGTATAATGTTGTTCACAGAGCGTCAGTGTCTTTTTTTGTGCAGCACACCTTGTTTATGTAGTACTATAATTTTTGCTGATTATACTGTACTGTAGGTTTATGTTCTGTTATATATTACAGTAGAGCGTGTAAGTTATGCAAACAAAATAAAGTCCTCAAGTTGGAATTTCCCTTGACCGTTTTTTAGCTTGAATATTGGACATACTGTATATCATTCCACATTTGATGATCAAATTCACTTAACAACTAGCTGTAGGACTGAAACTCAGTGGTTAAACCAGGAACATCTGTATAGATTTACAGGAAGTTGCAAAAAGTACAAAAGTCTGCTGTAGCCTTCACCTATCTTCTTCTAGGGGTAGCATCTTGTAGAGCTGTGGAATAACACTGAGCCAAGAAGTTGACATTGGTACAGTCTACCCTCTAGTTTGATTTTGACATTGGTACAGTCTACCCTCTAGTTTGATTCAAGACCTTGTTTCCTTACCTTGGTCAACCCTGTGAGGACATCAGCCCTGGATCCTAATGGCAGCTGAGCTACTGGTGGAGCTAGAGGCTACCACTGAGACAGTGGGCATCACTTCTTACCTTTGCAGGGTAGGAGGGCTGGTAGGGCAACCTCAGCACCAGCAAGTTCCAGGAGCTGGTTACCTAGCAATTTCCTCACCTGCTCAAGGGCCAGACCCCAGCTGGATTCCAGAAGATCCACAGACCATGTATAGAACTACAAGGAGGCTGCTTAAAAGCAAGTATGGCCTGGACCCCTCACACACACCTGTAATCCCAGCATTTAGGAGCCCGAGGCAGGAGAATTGCTGTGAGTTCAAGACCAGCTTGAATTACACAGCAAGACCTTGTCTCAAAAACAAAACAAAGCCATACCCTAGCAGGTAAATTAACGTGCTTATAAGAATTGAATACTCTGTGTTACATTAAAGGAAAAAAAAAAAAGCATTGGGCAGATAATTAGCCAGGGGAAGACAAAAACTTTGCCACAAAATTACAAATGCAAAAGCACCAAATTATGAACACAGATTACAAGTTTCAGTGACATTAGTAATCAAAACATAACTAATGAGTTACTTAATCATATACTATCTTGGGGCTGGGGAGATAGCTCAGTGGAATGAGTGCCTGCCTGGCAAGTGCAAGGTCCTGAGTTCAATCCCTGGTGCTGGAAAAAAAACAAAAAAACAAAAAACTCTATCTTAATTTGTAAAGGGATAGAAATTGATGATTAAGTCCAAGGATCTTCCCCTCCTTTCCCTCCCTACAAAAAACCTGGACCACAGTTTTCCAGTAACTTCTACAATGTTGTTTTTCTTAAAACCAACAAGGAAGGGCCTATTCTGTCTCTGTGCCTTTCATTGCAATGAATTTTTTAAAAACTTGAAAAGTATTTGGAAAGTGAATCAGAGCTTAAAGCAATGGAACTTTGGTGTTTAATATGGAATAACATCAGGGAGGATACAGAGTAGCCTGACAGAGGACTATTCAGTTGTCCAGGGTTTTATTTTTATTATATGTTCCCAGAACTTTACAACTTATATGTAATCTGGCTCCTTTTCCTGCCGGTTCAGTGTTCCAAGAGTTTGGCCTTCTAGTCTCTCCCTAAGTGTTTTCTCAGGTAAAACAGTTTCTTTGTGGGCAGTGCTCATTATTAAAATGTTTTTCCTTTATATGAGATTATTTGCTTTCTGTTCACTTTACCTACTAGTGGGGTTAAACAGAAGAAGGCTGATGGCTCTCCCAAGTTCACCTGCCAGACCATAGCAGGGCACCTTCATTTTCTTCTGTTCTTGCATCACATGATCTCAAGCCCCTCCCGACTTCAAGTCCTTCTGAGTGTTCCCAATCAGCTTTGGTCCTTGGATACCTGCATACTTTAGGTGTCTTATGAGGAAATGTGGGTTTGTATTTTGTAAACTTCACCTCAGAAAGAGAAACGGGCCAGAGTACAAGTCTAAACAAACGTATTCCTATGCTGGACACTTCTTCAGCAGAACAAGAAAGGGAAACACTCCTGAATTGCATAACTCCTGCCTAATTTTCAGCCTTTACATGTTAGTACCTGTAGGGGGCGCCCTTGATGTCAGGTGTTTCTTGATTTGGAGATAAGCTTGGAATTCCAGGTTGTTCAAGTAGCGCTGGCATAGCCCTGGCTTTCAGGAACAGTAATGTCTATAAGAAATTACTGTTGCATGCCAGCTGCATGTATGAAGAGATTACAAGGATGAGTGGCATTTATTAAATTTTCTTAAATTGCAGCTTGGTTTAAGGAGTAGGTTGGATTAGTGCAGCCAGATAAACTCACTGGTGAAACCCATGAGCACCGATATGGAGACACTCACTGCACCTATGTGTCTGTGACCCTGTTATTTGGAGAGAGGAAAATGAAATAAAAAACATGAACCAACTTCTTGTTGGTAGTTTTAGTTTGGCGACGTGGTTCCACAGAAGGCAAATAGCTGAGTACTGATGGAAGTCTGCATCAGTGTCCTTGGCTCTGTGCTGTGTACTTTTCATACATTGGTCATAGGCTGTATGTTCAAGATGACACAGCTGGCTCACATGTGTCTAGGAGTTCAGCCCATCCCCTCGCTTCTCTGTGGTCTCTGCCATCCCTCCACTGTAGCGGAGACGCTCAGCAGCCTGTGTTGTCTTGTTTGAGGGTCAGCACTTCCTTAGGCAAAAACACAGGACACTTTGATCAACAGAGTGGTGTTTGTGGAAATTGACCCACTAGGTAAAACTCGGAAAGGAGTAAGGAGAGGAAAGCTTTCTCCCGTCGGATCTGCTCAGAGCTTCTTGAGAAGCAGAATGAACAATGTGGCAAGCACTGGGTTTGGCCTCAGAAGCTTAAAACTGCTTCTGGTGCTGTTCTGTTCTCATAGAGTGTTAGCTGTGAGGCTTTGGGCCAGTTGTGGTGCCCTACCTCGAACTCTGTGAGCTTACAAGAATGATGCTTGGGAAGGTATTCCCTGATGGTTTCAGTGATCAGTACACTTAGGTATTATATATATAATTTGCCCATGTTGATACCTCCTTTTAAAAAATAGATCCAGCAGTGAGGAGGAAAGAGAGAGGAAGATTTAAAAGAAGTCAGATGGACTGGGCATGGTGCTGTGCACCTATATCCTTGGGAGGCTGAGGCAGGAGGATTCTTGAGACTAGCCTGGGCTACAAAATGAGCTCAAAGCCAGCCTGAACTGCATAACAAGACCCTGTCTCAGACACACATGTATACATATGCACAAAGTTGTATGTTATTTACATGTACCAACTCTCAGTG